TGTTGAGGATATCTTGTCAAATAAAAAAGATTTTCATACAAAAACTATATTTTTTTTGTCCAGTTTCTCACGAAATAAAAGCTTTTCACTGCCTCAGTGACACCGCCGTTAGTTTATTCCTGTGAGAATTTTCATTGTAAATGATTGCCGATAACATTTGCCAGGCTAAAAATAATTGAATTTCCCCACACGATTCGGCATTCATTTAACCGGAAATACTCAAATTAGGAAATTTCCAAATCGCCATTATTCAAGAGTGATAACTCAATGATATGCCATGGCCCGACCAGACCAGAGGCGAGCCAACGTTTATTCATGACTCGACAAGTACCAATTAAGAACGCCATTAAGGGCAATTGAAACATCAGCTTTGATTTCAAGGCCACCCTCCCCTCCAGCGTTAGCCAACTCGAGCAACAACAACAACAACACAGCTAACACAGCAAGCGACGATGTTAATCTAATCAGATAGCGCATTAATATTCAGCGTTGAGTTGAAACGATGGTTTCGACTTTTTGTTGTTGCTGTTGTTTGGGAGAATTGTTTGTTTTTAACTGCGGTGAGCCCTATGCGCTTGGGTTAGGAGGCGCTTGGTGGGCATGTTGAAATATGAAAGGGAATACATTAAGCAGTGATTACAATTACATGCATACTTTATGAGTGGATTATAACTTTTTAAGTGAAAATGATTTAGATCATTTAACGGTCGTAAAGAAGAAGAAGAAGCAGCCGTTAAGCCAAAAGTAGCTTTGTCAAGCAATTATTGAAATAATGGAGACAAATTAAGTTTGTGTGTGTGGTCAGGGCGCACGCATTTTCTCTTAAATATATATTTTTTGTGTGTTTAAGTGAGAAATGCAACCGTGGGTGGTATGTGCATGCAATGGGTGGTAAGGCTTTCAAGCGRTGAAAGAGTTATCGCTCATTTTATTTACTTTTTGATACATTTAAATTGATTTTTTAGTTATTTTTCTTTCATTTTATTATATTTTCATTTGCTAAATTGTCAAGAAGCGAACTAAATTTTTTAATTTCTATTTAGTTATTGATTTAAAAACCTTTACTTATTTGAAATATATTGTTTTTATTTATTTTATTTTATCTTTTTATAAGCTACTAAACTCAAAATAAAATTTTTTATTTATTTTAGAATTTT